GTGGGGGGGGAAGATCGACAGTCTGGGAGGGGAGGTTGCGCGGGAGCGGGATCGGAGTCACAACGAAGAAGAAGAAGAAGGAGAAGATGATAGTAAAAAAAAAAAAAAAAAAAATTAAAAAGGAAATTGTCGTCAATTACTTATCTGCGCGGAGGTAGCAACGACGATGACGAGGATGGCACGGCGCGGCGACGAGGGCGACATACACGACGATGGAAACGTGGCACGACGACGACGATTGCGACGGTGACGGTGATGACGTGGCACGACGATGACGATCACGACCGTGACGATGATGACGTGGCACGACGACGACGATCGCGACCGTGACAATGATGACGATCACGACGATGATGATGTCATGGCAAGGCCACGACCAACGCGACGATGATGCTGATGACGTGGCACAATGGCGATGGTCTCGATGATGACGATGATGACGTGGTGACGACGATCTCGACGATGACGATGATGACGTGGCATGCGACGATGGCGACGATGAAGCCGGGTGGGTCGGGCGGGTTCGAACCGCTCCGATACCAGTGTGACGGGGCTGAGGCAACGAGGCTGGGAGAGAGTGGGAAAGAGTGAGAGCACACACACACTCACTCAACTCGACATAGACTCGACACGACTCGACGGACGCAGACGCGAAGTGGCAAAGTCGCAAAGTCGAAGTCTTGGATTTTCGAACACAATGTCGAAGCAAGTGACACTGAAGCACAAGTACAGCAGTAGAAAACTGGTACGAGACCAGTCCCCGCAATGTTCGGGGAGCCGATACAAGTATCGGTGACACGTACGGTACCAGGGGCACTTCTGCAAAGGCCCTGAGGGCAGAACTGAAAAATCCGGTATTTGAAAGTGGCGCCTGAATTGCAGCATGGCGCCAGTTGTCCAAAATCCTACGGTACCAAAGGAGGGGTTTGGAAAAAGGGTGCCAGGCCGAAAACGGGATGCAGCCGAAACAGCAAAAATATAGACCAGGGATCGAGCCCTGGCGGAGTCCGTAACAGGGAGGCCATTGTTGTACTTGCAAAAGGCTTACGAGGGAGTCTGTTGTTCAGGTCCGTAACTGTGGCATACTGCACAGCCACACGGGCCTGCAGGGCCTGTCCCGCAGTCTCAGCCTAAAAGCCTAGAAACAAGGGCTTACAGGCCCCGTGTCTGTTTCAGTCTGACAGCCTGAAAACCAGGGCCTACAGGCCCTGTGTCTGTTTCAGCCTGACAGCCTGAAAACCAGGGCCTACAGGCCCCGTGTCTGTTTCAGCCTGACAGCCTGAAAANACAGCCTGAAAACCAGGGCCTACAGGCCCCGTGTCTGTTTCAGCCTGACAGCCTGAAAACCAGGGCCTACAGGCCCAGTGGCTGTTTCAGCCTGACAGCCTGAAAACCAGGGCCTACAGGTCCCGTGTCGTTTCAGCCTGCCAGCCGGAAAACAAGGGCCTATAGACCCTCAGGCTTTAGCCAAAAGCTACCTGGAAACTTCCCGGAAGCTTTCTCAGGCTTTAGCCAGAAGCTACCTGGAAACTTCCTGGAAGCTTCCTCAGGGTCTAGCACGTTTGGGCATTGGCAAGAGCAGCCTCCTGGACGGGCCCGCACTATATAAGACTGGCCCGCCCTACAGGCAAGCAGGTAGTTCATAGGGACTGGCCAGGGACTTCACGTGCAGTCCAGGTAGAAGGCCGGAGGCAGTCTTCAGGATACGGCAGCAGCACTCCGGAGGAGCGCTGCAGGAGTAGCTTAGCGCTAGCAGTAGTCTTCAGCGCTGGGCGCTAGTAGCTGCGGGGAGTAGTCTTCAGCGCAGGGCGCTAGTAGTAGTAGTAGTAGTAGTAGTAGTAGTGTTGGAGAGAGATGGCTGGCGGAGGCCAGTGAGACTTACCTGTGGCGCCATAGCTCCAGCTCCATCTTCGAGGTACCTGCATCAAGGCGCCAGCTTC